CCTTCTGAGACCCATCATGCATCCTAGTCAATCCTGGTTGGTCCTTGCAATGATGATCTGGCACAACGAGTCTGTAAGCTCACAACATGAGTCTGACATCATCACGTTCAACTTACATACGCTATCGCACACACGTGTAGCCCTTAGGATTGCCATCGATCATCCCCTCTGCATATGTCGGATAAGTTCAAGACAAGTTATAACGTCCTTGTCGATTAGTGGTTAAATCATCACGTTGTGGGATTGCCAAACCGTGAAGCCGGAAGTTCGAATCCTCCCTGGGACATGTTTTTTTACCTGGTGGCCTCTAGCAAGAACACCAACCACGTTTGCTTCAATCGTGTCCTTCAACGATACATTTTCAAAGTTGTGAATCGGAACGATGTCACCAGTACTAGTAGCGCTACTGAAACACACTGCCGCGAAGCTTGCAAGCTACGTAGTTGGTTAAAAATACAGTCCGATTTTCATGAAAGGCACGAAACGACTAGTAATCGCCATATCGACGTGTACGGGAAACTAAATTAGGTAACACCCTTCAGACCCTGGGTACTCCTTGCACCACACGTGGGTATCTCTGAGCAATCAGCTACAAGGAAAACATCGTCAGACAGGTTGGAATATGGTTGGAGAAGGAGCATACACCGAAGAGCGCAGGTGCACGCATCGCCAACACCTGGGGGTCCTCTCCAAGGCCGACGAAGCTATGTCGAAAATTAGCAACAATAGTTCATCGCCTTCCGAACATAAACTCACATGGTTGAAACGCCAGCCTCGATCGCTGAAGACAAGGTAAGGGCTGAAAGGAAAATACATCAGGTCAATAGAATTGACAACAGAAGCAGTCGCCTCACAGCATTGAAGGCCAATCAAAAACGCAAAGAGGAGAACGGGCGCTGTGTACTGTCCGTTGGCATTATACGCTGGGTTTGTGACTGTGGAAGCGTGAGCGCGTTGAAGCCGCGGCCAGATGTCACTGACTTCGCAGGTAAAGATACCCAAACAATGAGCAAAGCAGTCCTGTGACGTAGGCCCCAAACATCAAAGCTATGTTGAAACGCGCTGTTATCTTTTGGTCAACTGGTGAATGGAACGACTTACTTGTTCCTACAAGAGAATCGTTTACCAAGGCGTCGATTCCTTGAGAAACGTTGAGTCGTGGTCAAAAACTGAAGAGCGCGTCAAAGTACCTCGGTCCTTGAACATTCTAAAAGTATCTTTAGCTGCTTGTATGTATGACTTGCCATACAACGCTGTCATTTACGTTAGAACGAGTGTAGACTTTTATGAAAGAGTCGACGGACCGATCTCGATGTAAGCATACCGATTGAAATACTCCACTAAGTTCTCAATGCAGCTAATGAATAGACTAGCGCAGCAAGCGAGGCACGCTTCAACAGCTGCGCGAACGAATGAATGAGCACCCCGAAGCGCATAATGGGTGCTTGAACGTACGGTTTCCCCCCGCGCTCGCGTTACTCCTCGCAGCGTTTAGTATAAGCCTGAGAAGCTCCAGTATAGTGACGATCAGGGAACCAAAAGCAATTGAACCAAGAGAGAAAGTCGATGCGCGGCAAAAGGCACCAAGAGTCGGGTGTTTTGGCTATTCAGAGTGACAGGTTACGCAGTGTGGTTAAACCTTCGTGCCAGCGCTCACCATCTGACCCTGATCACGAGGGCCAAAGTAATACCAGCCTGTGGAGAATGAGAGTGGCCCGAATAGAACACAAGAAGTCACCTACACCCATATGGCCCCCCGGCAAGCGTAGCCAAAGTGACATTGGCAATGACTTGTGAGGTCCATAGGTAGGAAAAAACAGCATAGAATATGAGACCAGCTACTTTCCCAGAGGAACAAGACGATGATGTTCCGCACGCTGCAGAAAGGATTTAGCAGGGAGCACATGCGGACCGACTGTGCACCGACTTGGATTTCCAGGTGTGAACTTGGCATATCTGCGAAGAAATCAGACTTTGAAGAACGTCAGGTAGAATTTAAAAAACTTACATTGCAATGGCGGTGAAGGTAAACCAACTAATGGATGCACGTCAAGATGGCTTCGGCCTATTGATGAAAAGCTGGTTCTTACATGCTCAAGGCAGTCTCCAGCATCAATGCAGCAAATGCCACAAAATAGACGCTTATATGATGCTTTGAGATGTCCATCACAACCTGCAGCAGTAGGGAGGCAAGAGGGATCCGAGACCTGAATGTGAAGTAGACAAAGACAGAGAAAAGAGCGATGATTGTAAAGATGATAGCCCCGGCTGCGGTGAACACTCGATCAGCTGTGTGTCCATGCAACGGACGATCAGACTCACAGTAGTACCCTGTAAACCAATAGTAAACGCATATACCACTGCAAGAATCTCAATGCTCGCAAGCCTAAGAACAGTTTGCCTGAGTTACTCACATGTTTAGGACAATGGCCAGTATCAGGGTGATGTGCATTATAGCTTGTGTAAAGGCACGCGCCAGCATTAGATATGCCGTAGCTAGGAATAGGGCAACAGCAGTAACGAGGAGTAGGAGGTAGACGGTGTGCCTGGGCGCAATTTTTTCGATCAGTCCAGAGTTCCTGACCTTTAAAGTTGCCTACCGATTCAACGTGACTGCAGTACCCGTCTGACCACCGCTCCCCAAACCACCCCCTAACCCACCATCCTTCACCCACTGCGAGATGACGATACCCGAAAGTGCTGCAAATCCTAGGAGCTGTTAAGGAGCCTGAGAAAAGCAGCCTGTTCAAAGAAGAAGGTTGTCTTGAGCTTACCTGCAGGATGAAAAATAATAAGAAGAATATGTCGTTCACTCGCTTCCTCGGCTGGAAGCGCCCGTCGTCGAAAGGACTTTTTGTGTTTCCATGAAATCCGTCCGGTGGCTGGCTAACCTGCAGCTGCGCATATGGCTGGGAGTAGCCTGGAGTCGGACCACCTACGAAAGGTTGGTGTTCATGCCCCTGTTGGGCTCCCCATTGGTCCCTGCTCCAATGCGCCATGAAGTTGGTCGTTGGTCAATATTACGGCCCGAATGAAAGCCAAGTCCAAGAGATGGAAGCTGTTTCAAAAGCGCAAGCCTCGAGCTGCCGACCCAAAGTTTGAAACCAAACGCCATGCTTAAGCCACCATGACATTGACAAGGGTCACTTCCGAGTTCCGATCAACTCCAAACAGTAAATTCATATATATAGGGTAGTCGTCCCGACGTCCGTGTCGCAAGGCGAAGTAAAGGTTGCTTTCCCACATGGCTGATAATTAGATCTTACTATACTTTGAGTCTGTGAAAGTAAAGCCTTGTCCTCGTCGAGTACGCATCTGCAACCATTCACGGGCAGAGTCTGGCAGAGTTAAACTCTGCTGATTTGACGCCAATACTTGGACAGGTAAAATCATCATAACCGACCTTATGTAAGCTGGCCGCGTTCTCTCGGTCTCTCCTCTGCCTCGACGGTGCACCAGTACTTGAGCACTCGAAGAGGCTGCCAAGAGTCGTGAACTGCCGAGTAGCAATGGTGCCGATAGAACCCAATGCGTGACCGAAGACGGTATGGTATCCAATGGATTGCAGTAACCGAATCAATGGATCAGTGGCAGGGATTCTTGACACATGTTATCATCTAGATGGGCGGCGAGGAATGATAATAAGGCACATTCGCAGCTAAGTACTCAAACTTACCAAGATCACGGTGATAAAGAGAGAACGTTTTGGGGTGGTTGATCGATATCCAATATCCTTAGGGAACCGAGAGTGAGAGTGGCCGAATGCAGTGTAGTGCTGTGAATGCTTGTGAATGTCGCCAATTGCGTCTTCCTGCAGGCCTGGTGGTAGGCTCAAGCGCTGAAAACGAGGCCGGTACTAGTACCAGTGGAGCACGATGCGCTGGAGTGCGCTGGCAGATCTAGGCCAGATATATGATCTGAGATCTGAGGATAGGATCGTCATCAACTCATCAAAAGAGACCAGTCTGAGAATTGTTTCCAGTTTTTCTCAAACATACTATACCATCAACGTTTCAGAACGTAACAGCACAGACCTGAGTGTGTTACTCGTGTACAGCCCATTCGTCATGGGACTGGAATGAAAGGAAGTGCATACATCGATTATCGACTGCACTTCCGTCGTCACATAGAACTTGTCCTATCGATGGCCTGAACCTCACAGATATCGTTTTCAGTATCGTTGGATGAGTCAATAGAAAAATATTTCGAAATGAAGGGTTTGGCTGGCCACAGGTCTTGTGACAGGCCTGTCCGCCGTGTGGCTCCGAATATTAATTACAAACTAGCCTCGCGAAAGACACGAGTCAAAGTCCATTGTACCACCACAAACTTGTTAGAGACAGCTACTGCGAACAGGAAAAGGGTCGTCGTCTGCGCCAAGTGATTTGTGACTAGTGCGGTAGTACCTGTGCTATACACAGACCGTCGTCGATGTTAGCGATACGGTTGCAAGTTACTTGCTTTGGGTGGTGAGAAAATGCAGTAATTGATTTACGTACAATTTTTCCGACTCCGGTTTGCGACGTTTGATTGCACAGCGCTCTCTCTCTTCCTCAAACACTCAGCGTTCCCTTCGTCAACGACGTCGGAAGCGACGAGCTCAACAGCTCAATCTGTTTGCTACCCCTTTAATCATCAGGTAATCTTCTCTGTCTCGTTCTCTGTAATCCTGGGGACGAAGTCGTCCCTCTGCAACAGTGTCTGCAATTAATCACACGCAACACAAAACCAATCCTTCCTCTCACC